GTAGCTATAAATTAACCTAACAATGCCATATACTGGACTCCATAACTCATACCCTATAGCTCAACAGTGTATACCCAATCACTAATCAATGTTATTTCTGTAATCCAATGAGAATTCCTATCAAACAACTTTGTATCAGCCCACTCCTTGTTCCCTTTTACCTTTAAAAGCCTGCTTGTAACAAAGGCCAAACAGGGCACTTCCCAGTGTTTCCCCAGCTGCAGTCCTCACCCTTGACCCAAATAAACTCTCTACCTATATTCATTTTGCCTCAGTTTCTTTCTTTAGGTTTAGAATGTGACCATAGGACTTAGTTCTCATCAGTGGAATTTGAGCAGAAGTAATGAATACAAGTCTATTGCTTAAGAGACATTTCCTGGCCCTGGATGATCCTTCCTTCTGTTGTCCCACTGGCTGGAATGGAAATGACTGCAGTGACCTTGGAAGTCTCATATTAAAGGTGGCAGATCTGTCATAAGCCTGGATCCCTGTCTGACTATGTAGAGACCTGGAATCCTCAGGTCAGAATATGACATGAGAGAAATAGACTTCTTTGTTTTTGTTTTTTGTTTTTAGTTTAGTGAAATTTTAATTACATAAATTCTTCAAAGCATATTTACTTTACAAACAAGGAATTTGCAGTTCATTGTTGTAGCCTGACAAAAGAAAACTACCCATTAGGAATCTGTGCACAATGTGATTGCAAATATGTACAGTACTTTAAAAAAGCCTACAAGGAGGATTTTACAGAAGGAAAGTCAGTTAGGGTCTTTGTTAAACCAACTAGACAATCAAAATATTAAAACTGTGTTGGCTAGTAATAAATTTATACTTTAAAAAACTCCTAGTTTCCTTTTAAGAATATTCCAGTTATATTTATATGGTTACAGTTGATGAAGCTGTTCATGATAGTTCCAGTAGATTACCCTTCAGTTCATTTGTTTGGGGAAAGATCAGCATGGTGACAAAAATTAATAAAGGGATTTTCACCACAATAGTTTTCTATAGTAGTTTTCTAATAGTTTTCACCACAATAGTTTTCACGATCACAGCTTCACAAATGGATTGCCCCCATGAATCCACTGGCTGAAAGACAGCTGCATGTCAAATAGTGAGAATAGTGGTGGAGACAGGGTTGAGTCCTGCCTAAGTGAATCAGAAATGACGGGTAGGGTTGAGAAACAGATACGAGCATATTTTATATAGCACTAGTAAACTGTCCCTACATTCAGTTCTCATTCCCATTCCTGCAAGGTAATGAAGCTGGGAATCACGACTGTTCAGTTTAACATGTTATGTGAATTAGTAAAACAACCTTTCAATACAAAAGACTGAGATTTCGTCAGCTCTTTGATTAGAACACCCTATAGGTTGGACACTTCTTTGTGGTTCTCAAGCCATTACAGCTATCCAGTTAAAGCATGTGCATAACAGAGGACTCTTCTGTTCACAGTAAATGAGGTAAAATAGAGTTCTTGTCTTCAGGGATTAGGAAGTTCATGAGATATGAACTGTTTTAGTCCGTCTAGGTATTATGCATAAAGCTCTCTGTCATAATGGCCAGCCCCAACCCAGAGGAGCTCCACAGCACAGGGACAGCACTCCTACATCACTAGGCCATGGGAGAAATCAATGACCTCACCCTCTGTATGGTGAATGACCAACACAGAAGAGGTGACTTTAGATACCTTGTCAATGCTGGGGAAAGCGTCAAAGCAGTATGTTTTTCTGGTATCCGGAAAAGCCACTGGCAAGCTAGACATCAGGGGGAGCAGAGAATTACTGTTGCACACTCATATCGCAAGGCCAAGTCTACCATGGGGACAGTCCCAGTGCTCTGACTATGGAGGATAATGTTCTCAGGACTTACGCTATACTGGGTGCACAGCGCCTGCCACAGGGCCTCAGAAGGCTTCCGTAAGCTGACGACGTAGCCTGAGTAGTCCCAGAAGATATTGCAGTTGATGCGCCAGCAGAGGCTGATATAGACGCTGCACATCTGGCCCACATCCACTGCATTGCCGTGCTAGAAGAGCAGCATGTACCGGCTGAAGGGAGCCGTTGTCCCCCGCCGTGCGCAAGAAGACCTTGACAGCATGGAGCTTGCACTGCAAGTACTGCTGTCCGCCCGCGCGCTAGCTGAGGTGCAGGCTGCAAGTACAGGGTCTGGGACAATCGGCTTGGGCACTAGCACCATGTAGTGGGCACTAGCGGGCACTAGCCCACTCAGGTGGCAGGAAGGGCCAGCTTGGCGGTGATGTGGCTTGGGCAGGGCGGGCAGCAGAAGAGCCAGCACAGCTCTCCCAGAGAGAAGCCATTCACCCTGGGGCCTGGCTCAGACATCTGGGCAGCCAGGCGTTTGCTGCCCTGAGGGACTGGCTGGATGGCCCTAGGAGGAAGGAGGGTGGGTGCAGAGCACGTGAGTGCAGAGAGTGTCTCCTTTTTGTTTTTTAGGCCTCCTAAATTTTAAGGAGCCTCTTCCTTAACTAATACAAGAATTGGTACCATGAAAGTGGAGCACTGCTATATATAACAAAAACCTAAATTTTGCAGTATTTGCTTAATGATCAGGCGATGAATGATGAAGAAATATTAATAGTTTGAGCCAGAAATCTGGGTATCTCAAGACAACTGGTGCAACTGTTACCTATATTAACTTGGAAGGCAGACCATGTGCCTATCAAGCCAGTAGCTCTCGGGCAAGAGCCAGAATGCTAACTTGTAGTAGTTTAGCAAGGTATTACAAGAAAGAGATGAGGTCAGGCATGAATTGGTCAGTCTGCAAACAGGTGAAAAGGAATAGAGAGAATCTTTGTATTAAAAGCCTCACAGGATTGGAAAATCTAATTGTTTCTGGACCCAAGAGGTAAGTCTCTTATTCAAAATTTATTTTGAGACTCATTAAAACCTCCACATCAAGCAGAAAGACAAATAATGGATCCAGCACTGAGGCAAGGATCAGATTATGGTCATCACCCCTCCCCCCACAGAGCCTACTGTTTCAGATGGCATCAAGTTAGCTGTCATTAATAAGAGATGAAAGTCATGGAGACAATAAGGAAGCAAAGAGTAAAGCAGGTCTAAGAATTGTGTCCAGAAAATTACTTTGATTGTAGATACTGGCATATGAAAGTGACTGGAAGCAAACTAAATAGACACCTACTTTCATATTTCAATTCTAAGACATGCTTTTTTTTTTTTAGATTTTAACATTCTAGAAATAAAGAGTATTTTACAATTGATAGTGAATTACAATCCCTGTTTGTCAAGCATCTATCCTGATGTCTTTGTTGAAACATTCAGGAATTTAGCCATAGCAATTCATATTGCCATCACTTGAGTTGTATGTACTATTGATATGATACATGTTAAGTTCAGTCGCCATTTAAAATGTTTTTTAAAATATTACACTATTATTTGGCATTAAAATGAAAACTTATTGTATTTGTAAAAAGGCACAGAGCAGCAAGGGATGAATTTTATATTAGCAAAGGTTCACATTTTTCTGGTAAGATCAAGAAAATGTCAGCATCAAAACTTGCAAAGTCATCGCCAATGGCTGGGGAATTCCCAGAGACAATGGTGGAGCATTACTAATGCAGCATTACCAACTCTCTAGGTGGCACAAAGGATGATAATGTTCGAGAAAACTTGTAACAGCAAGAACCAGGTTGTGAAAATCATACAGCTCCCAAGAAGGGTATTTCCCCAATTTCCTCTTTGTATATGATCAGGGGGAATGACGGACAAAGATGAACACCCCATAGAACAAAACCAGGCCCTCCCTCAGGACAGTGATCAAAGAATTCTCTCCATCAACAGAATCAGGGACAGTGAGATAGTCTGGTCAAGGAATTTCATCCACTGTCAGGGCTGGGAGTCTTTGCATTACCCACTAAGTGGGCTTAACAATCACTATGGACCAATGACTGTTAGTGCTTCTAATTCTTTTTTTGAATGACTTTCATTATGGTTATGCTGTTCTCACATCACCATTGGATATTGAGGAGAGAGGGAACAAATAACTAGTCTTTTAGTTTGTAGATCTACAGACCATGAGGAGTCACATTCACTGAAATCCATTCTCCCTTCTTTCATAACAATAGAGTTGTAGCTAGGATGTGGCTGCCCAGCCTGGGACTACATTTTCCAGCCTCTTTGGAGCAAAGCCATAGTAGTGTGACAAAGATTTCTCCAATAGAATATAAGCAGAAATGATGTAGCAACTTCAGCTTCCCTTGCTTAAGAGAAATTCCGTGGCCCTGGAATTCTGCTCTTTCTCTCTGCTGACTGGAATTGTAATGACTAGAGTGACGTCAGAAGCCACATGTTGACAATGAACTAGTCTGAAATTTGAAATCATTATATGAAAAAGAAAGAAACTTCTTTATTTTTAAGCTACTAAATGTTGGAGATCTCCTTGTCACAGCACATAACTCTTCACCATAACTAACACACATAATTTGCAACTGTTTAAACTTAGAAGGAAAAATATTAGATAACTTCCAAATGTGTAGAAAAATAAATAGTTGGTTTGTTAAAAAATTTCTTTTAAGGGATTCATAAGGAAAAAAGTTAAAGACTCCTGGAATAGTTCATACTCGATAGTCTCTGCTTTTTCACCTTCTACTCACTCACCAACCAATTGTATTCTTGCTCCCTCCCTCTCCAGAAAGAGAAGATACAGGTTCCAAAGAGGTTGCTCTGTCTACAGCAAACTCTAGATATATCCAATGCCTTTTCTACCCATAGTTCCGTCTAAGAGAATCTATCCCACCTTCAGCTCCTGTTGAGAGAGCTGCTTCATATTTTGTTCCATATGACCCTGTGTGCCCGTCTTCCCTACCACCAGTCATGGTCATAGCAGACTTGGCCAGGGCGGGCACCTGACCAATGAGCAACAGTCAATCCATTGGCAGGCCAGGAACCTATGGTGTAGCCTGGCCCTCAAAGCCAAACTGGCTTTATAATATTTACATCTCTTGGGAATCTGAACTGGAAAATATGAAACAGATGGCAAAGGAAGCTGAAAATGAGCACATGTCTAGAGAAAGGCCATGAATTAGTGCTGGGACCATTAAGGGTCAAGACAAACTCAGATTATAAACAAGCAGAAACTGTGAATTGGGAGAAGCTAAGAGTTAAAGAAGAGCTACATAGAAAAGAGAAAAGGAGGGGCCATTTCTGTTTCATGCCAGTTATCTTAAAAAACCTTCAACTGCTGGGCGTGGTGGCTCACAACTGTAATACCAGCTACTCAGGAGGCTGAGGCAGGAGGATCATTTGAAGCCAGGAGTTTGAGACCAGCCTTGGCAACATAGCGAGACACCATCTCTTTAAGAAATGAAAAAAATTAGCCAGGCATGGCGGTGCACACCTATAGTCTCAGCTACTCGGGAGGCTGACACAGGAGAATTGCTTGAGCCCAGGAGTTCAAGGCTGCAATGAGCTATGATCATGTCATTGCACTCCAGCCTGAGTGACAGAGCAAGACCCTGTCTCTTAAAAAAAAAAAAAAAAAAAACTTCAACTACATGGGATTCTGGATAAAATATAACAAATATCCCTTAAAATGCATAGCTGAGATAAAATAATTAAATCTGGAAGGGGGACAGGACAAAGAGAAAGCTGAAACTAAAGTGGTAAGCTTGCAGTAATGTTTTGGCTGCTGTGAAGTAAAAGCAAACAACAAGCATGGCAGGGATGAGAGATAAAGGGTCCCTCAGGGAAACGGTGAACTAAAGGGATGTGATGAGGATACTTGTCAATTAAGCTTGACAATTGTTGCCCTCAAGTAGAACCTACATCAGATGGGGAACAGAGATTAATAGTGTCTCCAATGTGGCCTTTGGGAAGATGGTGCACTTTATAGTTCCCTGTTCTGTCTGAATACATTGAGTCTAGTCCTCATTTTGGAGAGCTTGTCTGAAAGGCAGTCAATCCAGCCTATTTTTCTATACCACAAGCTGGGGGCCATTTGTCTACCTCATGGAATGATCAAGTGATGGCTATGGGATTGGGGTCGGGGATGATATCCGGAGGTGCTGACAAGTGGTTTGTGTGTAAGTTTGTCAGCTAGGTCCCTCCTCTGCTGTTTCTGGTAGACTTCTCAGTAAGATAAAGGACAATGGTGATCAAATTGTGGTCAGAGCTGTCTGGCGGAGGACAGCAGACCCAGAAGTCAGTTTTAATTTAAAGTGCACAAGCAAAACAGTTATGGAGAGTCACAGCAGGACATTTTTTCCTTCCTGAGGAAGGCTCTGGGGGTGGTTCTGAAAGACAAAAGATCTTTAATGTCCCTCCTTCCTCTGTTCATCTTGGCACCTGAGGTGTTCCCTCCCCAGGTGTTAGCATTGTTGTTCTCCCTCCACCTCCACAAAATTGATGTGGCCCATTCCAGCAGTTATAACTTCACCTCTTCCCAGGCATCCATTACTCATATCCAGGCCTTTTGTTCACAAGGGTCAGATGCAAGAGGGACAAGGGTATTTTTATAAAACAGAGACCCATTATGTTCTCCACTTTGGCCCATGTGAATCATTATAGGGGGTCTTGGTGAGCAGTGTACAAAACCAAGTTGTTATTAATATTATCTTTATGATGTAGACCATGGCAGTCCAGCAAGAGAATCTAGATGGCTGGAGCAGAATTAAGTTTCAATACCTTAGGCTCATTTTGGGCTGAGCTACCGCCCAGAGAGTATATCAACCAGTATGGCTTGGGGTTGCCATTAATGGAAAGAAAGAAGCAGCATGCCTAGAAATGGTCAGGAAAGCATTCTGAATTTTCAGAATAGATCTCTATAAACCCTACCCCTTTTGTCCTGATCACTACTCAGGAAATAGCTGAGAAGGGATGATTCCTTTCTGGGGACAACTGCATTCAATAACCAAATTGCCTTCCTAAGGTATGTAGACCAGGAGAAAGTAAGGGAAGTAGAGTCAGAAATCTTTTAAAGTTGATTTTTGAGAAGGCTGCTCAAACTTCACAGTACCAGATGCCTGTGGATGGTAGGGAGCATGGAAGGTCCATTGAATACCTTGACAATCAGCCCATTGTATATGGCTTTTGCGATAAAAGGGGCATTATTGTCAGCCTGCAAATGGTCTGGGAAGCTGATCACATGACACAGATTAACTTCAAGGGTCACAGTGATTCGTTTGGACTCAGCTGATCAGATTGGAACAACAACACAGCAACCTGAAAAAGTGTCAACAGCAGTGAGGCCCCACTGACAGGCCCAAGAGAGGATCAAAGGTCCAATATGGTCAATCTTCCAGAAGCAGGTGGAGTCAATGACCTGTGCAATGTGGACTCTTTCACTGTGAGACAAAAGGGTCAAC